AAGGAACTCTGTATCATGTTGCTGCTGTTGTTTTGATTATTTTACTGTGTGCTCGAATTGTTCTTCACCCCCCAGAGTCTGTATGGATTGGTGGCCTATAAATACTAGTAGTACATGAATGAATGAATTGTGAACCATATATAATGATTATTAAAGGACAGTGCTTACTCTTATGGGGTAGAATTCAATCCATATTTATAGAAATATGCAAATTATATTAAAATATTTCTTATATGTAAGTGCATTTTCCACTGAATTTCATGAAATGTGCTAATAATAACACTTGAAAACATTATGCATTCAAGCGTTTATAATTTCACCTTACCTTAACTGTTCCTTTACCCTATATTTATCAGGCAAACATCCAAATTCTGGAAAAATAGCTGTATTTAGAACTACTTGATGTGTAAAATAAGAATAGTAACATTTTGAATTTAAGAATAGAAAAATTCTCTAAGAGAAAATATCCATTACAAATCTTGCTCCTTTGTAATATTCTTGTGCTAGTTTGGAGTCTTCCTTTGCACAAATACAATAAAGGTAAACAACAGAGCAAGTCTGTGAAAATGAACTAGAAATGCAAAGCATGTCTGCACAGGCATTGAGGTGAAATGGTTGCTATGGAGCTGGCAAGCTCCAAGTATCGGAATTCACTTTGCTAAATCACATCTTTCAGTACCATGGTGCTTGGTTCACATAACTTCACTGTTAAAAAAGAACTGTGTTTGAGAAGAAAATGGGGAAAATGCCACGAAAAGTATGACAACTGATATTTTAGATTATTGCTGGTTATACATAATATATTTTATTTTTTCAGCATTGCTGAAAATGGGTTAGCAAATGTGAAGGTCCTAATTAATAGCCACCTCCTTAAGAAGAATGTTTGTTCCTTGATATCTGTGGCCACATGTTCTAAGAGTCACTTGTGCAATCATTTTAAAGTATGGAGTGTGGAGATTATTTTAAAAAATGGTGTGCAGAAGCCCAATCTTGCCAGGGCAGGGAGTGTCTGGGAATGAATCCATCCAGACTGGGTCATTCCAAAGGTACTTTCAAGTAGTATCCAGATGCAAACTACAAAGCTCCCTTCTCCCATTCTCTATGATGATAAAAAATGCAAAACCCTGTAAGGGTAATAAGATACAATGTGTAGCCTAGCAATAATTTTCTTGGCAATGGGGGCATGCCAAATTTCATAGAAATTGATGTGTGATGGAAATGAATTACTTGCTTTTAAAATCTGTCTGTCTGTCTATCTGTCTGTCTGTCTGTCTGTGGCTTGCATTAATGTGGTAGAGAACTTCATACCAAATTTCAAAAAGACATGTTAAAGGTTTTTTTAAATGTAAACGGAAGAGGTGATGGTAAGGAACAACGATACCCATTCCTTAACATGGTGGAATTGATTGTCAGATGTTTCATTGAAAATATAAAGGATGAACTTGATGGAAATTTTCCATGACATAAATCAGTCACTGGCCTAGGCCACTAACCTAATACAGCTCAGAAAAGATTCTTGTACAGCTGCACAAGATGCAAGACTGGGCAACAACAATTGTAAAACATAGGAGGTTAACTAAACTTTCTTCCTGCCTTCACAATCCTTCCACTACCTAAAATGTTGTGACTGAGGTAGCATAATTGCAAGCACCACTCTTGAAAGGAAAGTTGACACTTATTGAACCAACGGTCTCACTCTTCCTCCCCCTTATTTATTTATATGCTTGCTGGTTGGCTGGTTGGTTGGTTATATAGCTGTGGCTGCAAATTAAATAAAGCTGCCATCTTTTGAAGTTTGACAGACATTCAGAAAGACCCAAATGGGTTCAAATCTTCCCACTCTGAGGTACTTTTGAAGTAATTTCTTCTAAATTACCCTATTCTGTGCAATGATATGCAGTATGGTTTCATATTTCTGTTCTAAAGTGCTACTATTTATTCTAGCCATTAAAATACAAAGATGCAAAAGAATAAAAATATCTTACTGGTTATCTTAATGAAATAATGAAAAGAAAACAGTTGTTACTATTTCCAATATAATATAAGTATCCAAAGGAAATGTGGAAATTGTGCATGTTAACTTATTTCTCCAACTACTTTCCTCTTTTTTAAAAAAGAAGGGAGGGCTGTAGAACTTTGAAAAGGGAAAAACAAATTATGGCATCTTATCACAGCATCATTGACCAGAATGCATTAAATTATATTCAAGGGTGTGATTTCAGTTTAACTTAATAGTTCTGTATCTGTTTTTTGTTTTTGTTTTTCTTTCTCCAAACATCGCCCCCCTTTTTTTAGTGCTGTTTTTGAGTAAATTATATTAAGTAGAACTTTTTAAACATAAAGAACCAAGTTGGCCTGGAGCTTCTCAGGAATAATAGGAGCAGAATTAGAAGTGTCACTGTTCTGCTTCATGATTTGTTTCTTTCATACTTTTTAAAATGAGTCCTTAAAAACAAATGGTATTGATAAATTCTTCTGTCTGAAATTTAAATGTTCTGATCTAAACTAACCAGGTATTTTTAATATCAGCAAAGGGCCTTGAGATCAAAGCTCTGCGCTGAAAATGTCATATCTGTCACATTCTTCTTTCCTTTCCTTTTGGGAGTGGTGATGCTGGAAATGGCTGAAGCATTAAATTTAAATTTAATTTACTGCTAGTAATAATATATGGAAAGATTAAATCTTTTATGTGTTCACAGTGGGCTGATAGCAACAGCAGAACATGGGATCTATAAGGATGCAAGACTATAAAGGGAGGCAGGGATAGCTGAAGTCTATTTAGGAGGATAGTGAAGAGAAAAACTTGAGACTGAAATAAGAACAAACAGAGCAGGGAAAATAAAATAAAGGGCAAGGAAAGATAACACAAGAAGAAAAAAGAGGATAAATGGAGTGAAGTGCTTGTCACCTTTGGCCATGCACCACAGGGTCCAGTAAAATCCAAAGCTTGTCCATACGCTGCATATCGGTGTATGTTCATCACTCACTTTGAAGAGTCACTCGCTCTGCATAATGTATTATATGTATGTTCAGCTATTTCAAGATGCCATTTGGTGATTGCTCAATCTGTTCCATGAAATTTTAAGTTGAGTTTTAATCTTTGAGCAGCCTGTTTTGAACAAATACTTACTTTACATTACAGTTAAACAGTTGCTCAAGGTTATGTTCTGAAAAGCAAATAGATACTGCAGCTGGGACATAAACAAAATAACTATGTGTTACATGCCCAAAGGTGAGCTTTGTGTATTTTATTTTTGTTCATTAGGCCACAAGGCCTTATTTACTAATGTGTTTTTTTTTATAGAAAATATTCACTGAACAGACTAATGTGAAAGTGGAATAATTGTTTCCTTTTGGAGATAGCAACCTAAGACAGCTTACGTTGCAGAGTTAAATGTCAGGTTTGACAAAGTGGCACTAAAAAAACCCTATAGTTAAACTGAACAATTTAACTATTGAGTAGATAAAAGAGCACAGCCTGCATATTTGAATTATATGTTAAAATTCTTAGCACTGTCTAGAAACACACACATACACCAGGTAGGCATATTCTAAAATGACTTAGCATGATACAGAAGGCACCTAGAACAGAACAAAGAAATCTGGCTGTCCAAATGTTTCTGATTATAGCTTCCAGTAGCCACAATGGCCAGTGAAGAATGCTATGGGCCATAGTTCAGCCTCTGGAAGGCTACAGGTTTCCTTTTGTCATATTAGAGGAAGGAGGGAAAATGCGTAATGTTGACTTACAAGTATTTTACAAAATGACCAGGCAGAGTGACAACTAATACATCTTGGTGAATGCATGGTAGCTATATTGCAATTGTTGTACTGTTATGTAGGTTTGTGCACAATGGAGCAGTCTGTTCTAGAATATTCTAGGTATTCTAAGTATACTTCTCGGACAGGAACAATTGGTGCTTCAGATATAGTGAATGTTGCACGGGATGTCTTCTGCCTTTGTCTTACAATTCCATGAATTGTACTTCTTGTCAAAAGTTATAGACGCTGTTGATATTTATTACCTTCAGCTTTAAAAATTAGGGTAGTAGAAGAAATTAAGGGACTTATTCATAAAGTAACACAGTGTTTAGTACTGTGTTAGGGATAAATCTTATTTTTGCCAAAATTAAAAGAAAGTGCACTAAAAAGCTACTGTTCTTCTTAACTACTGCTGAAGGCAGAATACACTAATTGGTCCAGAAAAAGTTCAAAAAGCTTTTGTAGATTTTATTGAAAGCTTAATCAAAGGACTTTCTGAGTAAGCTAGCGATTTGCATCTCTACTTTATCTACTGCAGCTGTGGTAAAAAGAGTTTCTGTTTTTAATAAAGAATTCACTTCAGTGTAGTTGGAACAATAGATTAAATATAGATGTGATTAGGATATTATTTGGAAGGGATAAATTTAAAAGTAGAAGCAGTCTTTCTTAAGTCTTTCTCCCCTCTCCAACATGGGACTAAAAGAAACTGTTTATTGGAAGCTGAACCAATTTTTCATATCAAAACCACCAAGGAAGAAGTAGGCTAGTGCTGCTTAAGAATCTACAGTTTCTTCTGTTTGTGTGTACCTGGTTTTGCCTTCATTTGTCAATGGATCTCTAGTATATATTGGCACCTTAATACATCTAAACTCCTGGTAGTACAATCAGTGATTTGGAAAATAATAATTATTTAGAAAAATTCTTATTGTGTAATATTTTGTAATCAAGTACAGACAAGATGCTGGTCTGTTCTGGTTTTCAGTAGAAGCATCCAATCTCATAATGCCTACTGCTTTTTTACATCTGTAAGAGGACGTCTATAAGTAGTAGAGCTCAACGTGTGGAAAAAATGGATTGTGTGAGATTTGCTTTCTTCTGTTATACTATACCAAGTTTGCTTCACCGCTGACAGAATATAAAAAGGGAAAGTGATGATGGTAATATTGTACTGCTGCTTACTGGTATCTTGTTACTCTATTGTGATACTTCTATATATATATGATTTCTGATGATTCTAACATCTTGCGTTATTATTGTTATTATTGTATTCGCAGGACGGAGGGCTTCTTCTAAATAACCCTACAGCATTAGCAGTGCACGAGTGCAGATGTCTTTGGCCAAATGTCCCTCTGCAATGTGTAGTGTCCCTGGGAACTGGTCGATATGAAAACAGTGGGAAAACCAATGTCACCTACACAAGTTTAAAAGCTAAATTGACTAATGTCATTAGCAGTGCTACGGATACTGAAGGTTAGTATCAAGTGATCATAGTCTCCTCTTGGGCTGTAAATTAGAAGGAACATAGCAGATCCTCTAATGAGATTTGATTTACTGGTTAAAAATAACATGAAAGGACATTTTGGTTCTGTTTTATAACCTGTATTCAATTTGAGATTATTTTGTTAATCCCTATTTTCTCACCATCCATGTGAGGATTTAGTGTTTAATTCATATACAGTGCTAAAGCTCTTTATATGAATATTAATTTTAAAAAATCATTTAAAGCTTAAGTCTTTTTGCTTTTGTCTGATTAATACCTTGTATTAGATACTTGGTAAATTGAGATTGAATTGGCAGTTGGTGACAATGCTTGCCAGATTTGCAATTAAATTAACTACTTAAGATTGCCTATACCTCAATTTTGCCATTATTGAACCTTTGTTCATAAAAGTGTGGCTTTGTTGATGGTAGATATAATGTTGGGATAGAAAGCTCCATCTTCAAGGTTACTAGATGTAGGAGCAGTGGTAGAATATCATTTTGGTAATTTAGGAAAGTCTGTTAATAGGTGACACTGACAGTTATAATGATTATCAAAATGTAGAATGACCATTTTACCATGTTTCACATGAGTTTCTCAATAATGTAGAAATAAGCAGTCAGCCCAGACTTGAGTTACTATATAAATTTTATGCAGTTACTTCTTTGAGGTCTTCTTTGATTGAGTCTAACTAGGAATTCACATACCAAATTAATCCTGAAATTCTTGAGCTAGATGACACAAGAATCTGCTTTTGCATAGATCAAGGTGTATTGCTTCAAAGAGAAGTGTTGATTGCTATGTTTTAAAAATAGACAACAGTTTTCTTTTTTCTTTCATTTGTCCCCCTTCTCCCACATTTGCAACTGGAAATGAGTTTAGGACTCAGGGTAATAACTGAAATAGGTGGATACTTATGTAGATTTCACATGTTTCTTTCTGCCTTCTAAGAAGACTGAGCCAAAGCGTATTTGATCATAACTATATTCTTCTGTTTAAGTGGAGCTTTTGCTTTAAATATGGGAGGTCTGATGATTCTCATGATTGCAGCATGGGTGGACAGAAGTTTCATCTTTTGTGCTGCATTTTTTTAAATCACTCCTTGAAAGTTGCTATTTATATTAAGAGGAACTAATTGGAGATTTCATATAAATTCAATGAACTACTTTTTCTAAAAATCACAGTATGGGGCGGATGCTGTGGTGATGGTAAATGTGTAACAACCAGCTCTTCTGGCTCCATTGCTGCCCTTACGCTGCTGGCCGCAGAACAGCTGATTGGTACCCTAGGTACTGTAGCTCAGCTCCACTATCAACTGGCTTGCAAAATTGTCGAAAATTTAACAAATACCTTTTGCAAGCTGGTACAAGCCAGCTCCAGCACACCACTGGATGGGTGGGTGATGCTATTTACTTAAAAAACAAAACAAAAAAAACCCCTGAAGTTTTGCATAACAGATATAATGTAGCCTCAGTTTACTAACTTTGACATACAATCTTATATAGAGGTGTGAAAGGTTATTATTTCTGAGACTTTTTGCTC